GAGAGGGGAACGAAAATATATGTATATATACAATTTTCTCTCGCTTTATACAAACACAAACGCACTTTATACACTTGCGTTTGTATAAAAAACGAGAGAGGCGAGGGAGAGAACGAGAGTGGCGAGCGAGATTCACCGGGAGAGAGGTGAAATAACAACAGTTTACTATGAGGTACAATTAAATCAAACTATATTTATAGCATTTAATTTGGATTAATAATTTGCTATTATATACAATTTTCCCTATATATGAAATAGTTTTGTAACCAGCAAAAATTCAAAGTTGGGCCAATTCAAAATATGATTGAGTATTTCCCTAGGGCTGTTATATGGGCCGTACTTTCTATTTGGGCCTGCCAACTTGCTGATGCAACGAAGTGGGCCGTCACTTCGTTGCTGGTGATGTCGGGGTAATTCTACTTGAATTCCGAGAACTCTGATTAGGGTTCAACCTGTCACATAACACGGTTTGGTTCGGTTTCTTACTGTTGGATTTCAGATTAATCGATTTGATTATGTTAGAATTTTAAACTTATAAGTTGGGCACTTTCTTGTTGTGAATAAATGGGCCTCAAAATTAGGTATTCATATCAAATTGTCATAATAGTTCTTTTTCATCATAATCATTTGAAAAATTGGTAATTCTAAGTACAAATCTTAATCCTTTGTTATGATCGAAAAATTCAGGTGTCATGCGAAAATAAAAATAAAGCAACATTAATAAATAAGAAATTGTTTTGAAATGTTACTTTCGTTATCTAATCATCTATCATCAAATAGAAAAAATGTTTGATATAAAATCGTAAGTTACGAGTGCTATTTCTAGATGGAGAAAACAGTCAAAATGAACTTGTTCCGTGAGGTCAAACCCAATCCAACCCTACCTGAAAATTTGAAAGCCTTTTTAGAACTGAGGCTATTAAGGCCTCATTTGTTTTCATATAAATTAGTATATATAAAATTAAATAATAATCTACATTAATGATAACATTGATAAGTAATCTCTTATTATAAGTTAAATTATTCTACTATTAAATGTTCAATTTTTATATTTTTTTAAGTTGTAACAAATTAACAACCAAATCCATTATACCTTTCCTTATTCCTAAGCAAAAACAATTTCGTTTTTTAAGTATTTCATTTTTCTGATCAATTCTTCTCTTTTTTATTCTTGGTTTTTCCCCCGTTTGCAGGAAATTCCAAGGAATAATTCCCAAAATTGAGTGTATATTACCATAAATATTTTGATCACAGTCTAAATAAAATAAAATAAAATCAAAATAATAACTAAAAAGGGGACATTAACGTAAATAAGTCGGTAGTTAGTGTCTCTTTAAAAGCGATAGAGGCTATATAGATTTGGTCTTAAAAATCAGTGAAATTGATGACTTTCTCACCTCAAGAGCTATATTGAACCTTGCTTGGTCGAATTGGTTGTGCAAGTAATCTCTTAAATTGAGAGTTTCAGGTTTGAAATCCTTGTATATTTTTTCAATTTTACTTGTCGAATGAAATTTATCTCATACAATTTGTGACTCCTATGTAATTTGCATTACATTATATTCCCCCCAAAAAATGCACTACTAATTCCCTTGTCAACAACAATCAAAAAAAGAAGTGGGGTATATATTTGGTGTGGTTAATTTGTACCAAATCTCTACATGTTATTATATTATTGGTAATAAATCATCAGATCTAATTAAATAGCTATTGGTTAATTACTTATTACATTGACACTTAAAGCTTGTATGACTTTTGGTTGCAAGCCAATCAATACAGAGCAACCAAAGATAGAAACAATAAATTCTAGATACATGTTTTAGTCGGACTCTAATATAGATATCGAATACTGGATGAAAAATAATTAAAAAATCCTAGATACATACTTTATTTTTCATGTACAAATTTGGATAGTTTCCGTCCTCTCTCTCTCTCTTTCGTATTAAGCACATGTTCGATATTTCTAATTTTCTCATTTTTGATTAGTCAAAAGGATTTAAAAATTGGTTTTCGTAACTAAGAAAATAAGTTTATTAAAAAAGAAAAAAATATTTATTTCTTAGGAAAGATTGAAAATAATTTCCACATGTGATATTTTATAATGATTTTGTCCTTCTCATCTAAATTTCATCTTCACCGTGACACTGTCACCCACATAAGCCCTCATCCCTGCCCCACCTCCATCTCCATCTTCACCCCAACTCTCTCATAACTGTTTAAATTATATATAAATATTTTTTAGGATGATATTTTTTGTTTACGCACCAAATCGACAAAAATAAATATAAACACATTTTCCTCACAAACACACCCTAATCACCATCTACTTTGAGGGTATACATTTGTACCCTGGATACACATGTACCATATTTTCCCCTCTTAGAAAAAATATTATCCCTTGGAAAATATACTTCTATGTTCTAATCATTTATTAACCAAAATAAAGCCAAATTAGACTTGTGGGGTCCAACATGTCTAGAACTCAACGAAAATATCTAGGGTGTATGGTATTTCGATATGTCATTTTTTTTATTAGTTAGTAAAAAGAAATTTGAAAAATATATTTTCTCATGATAATAAGTTACTTAAAATTGAGAAAAATGACTTATCAAATGAAAATAAGAAAATTATGTTTCACAAGTGATATTTCATATCAACACTTTGTTTGGATGTTGTTACCGCTATATTGTATTGTATTTTTAATTTAAATATAATATTTATTTTGATTGTTATTTAAATTATATTGTATCGATCGATTTGGTGTGATCGCGTCGTTGTCTTAATATTTTCTTTTCATTTTATCTTTACTTATTATTTAATAATTCTATTTTATCTTTTATCCTACCTTTTCATAGTGGCTCTACCCTGGACCCTACTTCTATTGTACGTTTATTATTCAAATTATGAATATGTAACATTGAAGAACGATACAATATATTCAAACACTATATTCATTAGAACAATACAATACAAAACGACACAACATGATACATTATGAAATAATACGTAATAACTATCCAAGCATAGTGTAATTGTGCCTTTCACACATTTAACACACCCTATAGCTCTCATCCCCCACCGCCACCCCTTCCGTCTTACATGTTCTGAATTTTACACTATTTGAATAAAATCTATTAAATTCAATCAAATATTATTTATTTATATCATTTGATAAAATATCTTTCACGAAAATAATTTTCCGTCGTATCGAACACACCCTTAAATCCACAAAGTTCGCTTCCATCATGCAAACTCATTTGATACGCGTACTAAATTAACCACCAAAAAAAGAAACTTTTGTACCTTCCCTTCTTCCCAAGCAATAATGAAAAACCGTTTTACTTCACATAAATAAATAAATATATAATTATCATTTCTCTTCTAAAATTCATCCTCTCCGTTATCCATTTTCCGTTTTACCTCCTTTTTTTCAACAATGTCCAAACAGTCTTACAGAGTCTGTTTCTGTTTCCGGCGACGGTTCCGGGTACTCGCCGCCGAGGCTCCGGCAGATGTGAAGAATTTGTTCAATCGGTACTCCGATAATGGAGTGATGAGCGTGGAGAATCTTCATCGGTTTTTAATTGAGGTTCAAAAGGAGGAAAACGCTACTTTAGAGGATGCTCATGCTATTATGAATAATCTTCATGATCTTAAGATCCTCAATATTTTTCATCGGAGAGGTCTTCATCTTGATGCGTTCTTCAAATATCTCTTTGCTGATATCAATCCTCCTCTTAATTCTAAGCTTGGGGTAAGATACTGCTGCTCAATTTGTTTCGATTTGCTCGCGTTGCTTTGAATTTTGATTTTTTAGTAGTACGCAATTGAGATTTTGTTTGTGTGTTTGATATATCAGAAAATGTTGTTCTGAAAAACATTTTCGTGTGATTGATTTTGATGAAGCTAGGAATTTGACGAATAGTGTGCAATTTTTTTGTTCTCAGATGGGTAAACGGTGTGCAAAACTAAATATACACTCATAATAGCAAACATTTAACATTTGTACACTCCTTTTCCGGCGAAGGGAAGGTTGCTCCGCCCATGCCTTATACACTATTTAGTAGTAATTTATATGACCAAGCATTGGAAATTGATCTAAAGTCAAATTTCAAGGTATAATGCACCAAAATGCCTAATGTTTAAACTTTTTTCTTTTTAATTTCCTTTTTATCAACATGACCTGTTTAGAATTATAAGGTCCTAAAGAGGAGTCTTGTATATAAATTATAGTAACTAGCAGATTCAGAGGCGGAGTCAGAAGTTTTAGTTTCTGGGTTCTGGATCATAATTCTTTTTGCTTATTGGATTCTGAATAGATTATTTATACATATTAAAAATAAAATTTTTAACACAAATACATGGGATTGAATCACAAAAGCTTTTATATTTGATTGTCGGGTGATTTGACCTGTATGGAATGCTTTTTAATTTACTTGTGGAGGTTTGTAGTAAGTGAGCTATATGTTTTGGACATGTTCTTAGTTAAAAGAATGCAATAGACATATGAATTACTAGTATATTTGATGTATTCTTTTCAGTAATAACTCTCCTTTTCTTTTGTTTTTCAGATTCACCAAGATATGAATGCGCCTTTGTCTCATTACTTCATATACACAGGCCACAATTCTTATTTAACTGGGAATCAGTTGAGTAGTGATTGTAGTGATGTCCCCATAATACAGGCCCTGCACAGAGGTGTAAGAGTGATTGAATTGGATATATGGCCAAATTCCGCTAAAGATGATGTGGAAGTTCTTCATGGAGGGTATGTAATTGTTTCTATTAAGCTTAGCTGTGTTATGTTTCTACCCGGACTAGCATTGGAATTTGAATTTCATGTCATACTTCTCATGAATTTTTGAGTCACCTAAACACATGCCTCTATTATAGAGTTCTCTCTATTGTCCTTGTACTTCTCATTCTTCTTGTAGTTTGTAAGTGTACTTTTTTCATACAGAACGTTGACCACTCCAGTTGCGCTCATCAAATGTTTGAAGTCTATCAAGGAACATGCTTTTACTGTTTCTGAGTATCCTGTAGTAATAACACTTGAAGATCATCTAACTACAGATCTTCAGGCAAAAACAGCAGAGGTGTGTATGTTCATATTCTGGATATGATACGACTTATGATCTTTATTGATCCTAATTATGCTTTTGTGGAAAAATAATAGATGATTACTCAAACATTTGGAGATATGCTTTTTTCTTCCGATTCATGTTTGAAAGAGTTTCCATCCCCAGAATCACTGAAAAGACGTGTTCTGATATCAACTAAGCCACCCAAAGAGTACCTTCAGGCAAAGGAAGTTAATGAAACAGGTGCAACGAAAGGAACGGATCAAACTGATACAGAAGCTTGGGGAAGGGAAGTTTCAGACATTAAAGCCAGATACAATGATAAGGTGTAATAAAATGCATTACTAATTAGTTTGGCCCATTTGAGTATGTGAGTTTCTTTAATTAAACTATATTTTTGCCACATTCTGTCACTGTTCCAAGCAGGATGACTCTGATGAAGGTGAAGCTGACGATTCTGATGAAGAAGATCCCACCTCGCAGCAAAATACAGCACCAGAATACAAGCGTTTAATTGCCATTCATGCTGGAAAGGGGAAAGGTGGACTGTCTGATTGGCTGAGGGTTGATCCTGATAAAGTAAGACGACTTAGCTTGAGTGAGCAAGAACTTGGAAAGGCTGTAGTTACTCATGGGAAAGAAATTATCAGGTATAGTATTAATTTGCTCCATCAAACGATTTAGCTTGAATGAGCAAGAACTTGAAAAGACGACTTAGCTTTGTTTTATGTGATCAAACGAGGGAGGCCTAAAATGTAGCAATCAGTGTAGATGTTTAGGTTCAATGACAAGCTAGACAAAAATGTACATGTGAAGGAAGCGTATTAAATGACCTAAAATCTCTCTGAATCCAAGTGGACACATCAAAAAAATAATAATACACAATTGAAACAAAAGATCTATATAGACATACATAATAGTTGAGATTAAGGTTTAGTCATACTGGTACACTTACATTACCTTCTTTATTTGCAAGGATTTTTTTATTCATATTAGAGATTTGTATGCCCGTAGTAAACGTGAGAACCTCTAGTGTTAAAGAACCCCATATTACTGATTATTGGAATGAAACAAGTGCAAATGGAGCGAAATGGACATTGGATTTTTCAACCACAACTAGCTGTTGAGATGTCATCGTCATTGTTGTTGGTGTTCTTGTTTGTCATGTGTGATCGAAGGATTTTCAAATGACACAATCCAACTCATGTGATACTTCAAAATTCTGGAATATTGTAGCAGATTTACTTGTCATAACATTTCATGTAATTGATCTACAGCAGTCGTGTGTATGCCTTCTAAGATTTTACCAATTTATTCATGCCATGTACATGTAATAGACTGTATGTGCATAATTATGGTATGCTTACAGGTTCACTCAGAGGAACATTCTGAGAATATACCCAAAGGGCATACGTTTTGACTCATCCAATTACAATCCTTTCAACGCATGGACACATGGAGCTCAAATGGTGGCATTCAATATGCAGGTTAATCTTCTCTTTTCATCCCTGGAAAGCAAAAGTGGTAGCATTCATAAGAGAAAATCATAATGCAAAGTTGATCTTTTCTTCTTTGCGTTTGTTTGATCTCAGTGACCCTTTTCTTGATTAAACCATTGCTGATATTACATTCATGATTACAAGATTTACATGTGGCTTTCCCTTCATGATGTAACATTGATTTAGAGGAAATGAGTGGACTGTTAATCTTTGTTCTGTTTTCTCAAGGTGAAGGACATAGCAATCATAAATACCTATCAGAACCCAGTTACCTATCCCCCCCAAGCATGCAAATAAATCCTGGGACTACTTTACACTTGTGATTATTTTGAACATCTGACACATATTACATTAGAATATATTTGAAGCTTTCTTCACCCTTGCATACGTGCCCTGATTCCAATAATTGAAACAACCTCTCTACTCCACAAAGGTAGGGGTAAAATCTGTGTACATCCTACTCTCCCCAGACCCCACTTGTGGGATTACCTTTAGTATGTTGTTGTTTGAATCGAAGCCTCAGATCTATTACTCCCTCCGTTTCAAAAAGAATATCCTAGTTTGACTTGGAACGGAGTTTAAGAAAAGAAAGAAGACTTTTAAATCTTGTGGTTCTAGATTAAAGTTATGTTAAATGTACCAAAATGTCCTTTAATCTTGTGGCCTTAAACATGCCATGTGGAAAGTTGAAGTTAAAGTGTTTCCAAAAAAGGAAAGGGGTCATTCTTTTTGAAACAAACTAAGAAGGAAATGAGGCCATTCTTTTTGAAACGGAGGGAGTATATTTTATATGATTTGTCTGGAAATGAACTTGGATGAGGAGTAACAATATGTAGTAATCAAGGGAGAGCTCAAAGGCTGGTGTGACTATGTAATATTACCCCCCGGGCGTGCCTACGCCAAATACCCCTTTAAGCAAAGCAAAATAGTTAAAAAGGTCACTTCCTTGGACGGTGGGTTATTTGTTCTAAGTTCTACTCTATCACATTTGATTCACTATATGACTTTAATTGTTCCCAATACCGTTTTCTTTATCAATTCGCTTGTCATAGTCTTCCCAAGGAAAATGCATAAACAAGAGTTTTGTGGCAGGGCTATGGAAGATCACTTTGGTTAATGCATGGTATGTTCAGAGGCAATGGTGGTTGTGGATATGTTAAGAAACCAGATATACTATTGAAAGCAGGTCCCAACAATGAGGTCTTCGATCCTGAAGCAAATTTGCCAGTCAAAACTACATTGAAGGTACTTGAGGGTATCTAGTTTTATAGCTCACCTTATTGGATTATGTAAGGTTTGATCATGTTGATGCAAATAATCCAACGCTTCTTGAATTAAGCAGGTCACCGTATTTATGGGTGAAGGGTGGTATTATGACTTCGAACACACACACTTTGATGCATACTCTCCTCCAGACTTCTACGCAAGGGTAGATGGATATACTTAACTTTCATTATTATCATTATTATTTGGTCGATTTACTTGTTTAAGTTCTGTATTTGCGATAATCATCCCTCAATACACTTCGGGTTTGGATGTATACAGATAGGAATTGCTGGAGTAGATGCTGATATTGTAATGAAGAAAACAAAGACTCTTGAGGACAATTGGATACCAACTTGGGATGAACAGTTTGAATTCCCATTAACAGTTCCTGAATTGGCTCTACTCCGCGTGGAAGTTCATGAGTATGATATGTCTGAAAAAGATGATTTTGCTGGACAAACTTGTTTGCCTGTTTCAGAACTAAGACAAGGTATCCGAGCAGTACCACTTCACAGCCGCAAGGGAGAGAAATACAACTCTGTCAAGCTACTTTTGCGTTTCGAATTTATCTAATTGTGAGTTTGTCTTGTCTTGTTTTGTTTTATTCTGTTTGTGGAAATAAGGATTTTGCCATGATTTGCAAGCTTGCTTCTGTGTATTTTGTGGTACGTTCTGTATCTTTGTTGATATTATGTGCCCAGAGATGTAAATAGGTTTGTGGTAAAATGTGTGCAAATATTTTTTGTAAAATCATTCAAATATTATGTATTATATGCTAAGGTGTAAATATATGTGTGTTTGGAAAACTTTTCCCATTTCCATTATGGTTTGTATTCTCGTTTGTCTAAGCCTTGGTTTTATTAAAACAATATATGTTTGGATATAAATCAAAATTTACTAATCCTACATATCCAGTGTACTAACATCCTTACCCTATCTCGGGATGCAGAGAGATTGTTTTCGAAATTAAAATATCTAGAAATATGAGTATGATTGTAGATTTGAAAGAAGAAGGTGATGATGATCTGTTAGTACAGCTACCACCAACAAACTTCTCTGCAGTGGAAAATAACTACATATATAGATCTGGATTCCCTCATCCTTCTAATTTCACTTTTCTCCAGTCACTCAGTCTTCGTTCTAATCATATACTTATGCACGACACCTTACCACCCATAAGAAAACATTGAATTAACAACATAAAGCTTTACCAATTCAGTATCGATGGAACAAAGGATGCATCAACTATGTCAAGCAGAAGTGAAATTATAATGGATGGTTTGAGAGTGATAACTGATGAGAGAAATCACCCGGTTTTAGTACATTGCAAGAGAGGGAAACATCGAACTGGTTGTGTCGTTGGATGCTTGAGGAGGAAATTGCAGAACTGGTGTTTGGATGTTGTGGTTGAAGAAGAGTTCAAGCATTTTGCTGGAGCAAAATGGAGAGAAACTGACTTGAAAATTTTGGAGAGTTTTGATGTGCAAATATTGTTTGAGTATTTCAAATACTTGTTGTAATGTTAAAATATCGTTTTGGTCGGATTTCTTCTATCTCATTTTATGTGAAAGTGTTATTCTTTTCGTTTTAATTTATGTGTTTACTAAATAATACTACTAATGCTCCGCACATCCCTCTCCAACATAAAGTGCGACAATACTCGTCTATCTACTAATCTTCTAAGTTCTATCCTAATATTCGACCTCCATATATTTTTGTCTAGAGTCATATCCCCATTAAGTTGAAGTTGTGTCATATCTTGTCTAATTACCTCCCTTAATTTTTTGTTAGCTTATCTATACCTCTCCTATTTCATGTGACAGTCAACCTCTTACACCTCTGTGTTGGCGCATCCACACACCTCCTCTTCACATGCATGCACAATAGGGGTGTGCACTATTCGGATTAAACCGAATAACCAAACCAAATCAAACCGAATTTTTATTTGGATTGGTTTTTTGGTTTTTCGGATTGGTTTTGGATTAATAAATTACTTTATTTTTTTGGTTTGGTTTCGGATTTTAAAATATAAAAACCGAAAAACCGAAAAAAACCGAATTATATATATATATATATATATATTTATGTTTGAATTATATCTATAATAGGTATACTTATAAGTATTGTGTTTTAAGTTTTACTTATGATTTATATTAGAAAGAATATTTAAGGGATTAAATATTATTACTTTGGTTATATATGTTATTAATTATTGACATAACTGAATAACCAAACCGAAAAAAGCCGAACCGAATAGAGGAAAACCAAACCAAACCAAATTTATTTTGGATCGGATGGGGTTACACTTTTACAAAACCAAAAACCAAAAATCCAAACCGAATAGTGTAAAACCAAACCGAAAAACCGAATGCACACCCCTAATGCACAATACATCTCAATTTCGCTTCGCTCATAATGTCTTCACTCTCAGCTTGCCAAGTATAACTTCATTCCTAATCATATCAGTATGCCCAAACATTTGAGCATCTTCATCTCTCTATATTCATCTTTTAAATGTGTGCATTCTTGAATGGTCAACACTCTACCCCATATATACAACAAATTTGGTGTAACCATCATCCTATAGAACTTAAGCCTTTGAGACACATTCTTATCGCACAATACCCCAGATTGAACCTCCATTTCATCCACTCGCTTTAATACGTACGATGTGTGACATCATCGTTGATCTTCCATATATATCCTTGGATTATGACCTAAGATACTTGAAACAAGAGCTAGTATTTATTCATTTCTTAGAAAATTAAAAAAATGAAGCATAAATAAGGAACTCACAAGTGTAAAAGCAAAGTATTAGAGGACAAAATTCTTGCCTTATATTTTGTACTTTGCCAACAAAAGAGTCATGGAGATTGGAGAGTATTTTGGTTTGCTTAGTAAATATGAAGATAAAAGGATTATAAAATTAGGTTTTGGTGGGGTGGTAAGTACTTGTTAATTCTTAATTAGACGTCTCATGTTTGAACCTTGGAAATAGAGTTGTCTTTAATAGAGAGCGTTTTATCCCAAAATGGAACGCAAATTCAAATTAATCGGACGTGAGTGCCGGACATAAGATTAAAAAACAACATCAAAAAAGGGATTATAAAAGGGAAAATTGTATGAAATAACAAATTATTAATTCAAATTAAATGCTATAGCCATAGTTTATTTTAATTGTAATTCGCAGCAAATATCTTCTATTTTTTGCCATCTGATTCGGTATACAATTAGCCATTTTTGGTATACAATTAGCCACTTTATACATTTCGGTATAAAAATGTGTTTGTGTTTGTATAAAGCGAGAGAAAAGTGTATATACAAATACAAATACATATATTTTAGTCCTATACACTTATAATTATACAAATACAAATCTTATTATACAAATTACAATGTATAAATGAATTTTATACAAAACTGAACAATTTGTATAAAAATTGGACGTTTGTAGCGAATTATACAAATCAAAAAGCTCCATAGCAAACCTAAAATTTGCTATGAAGCGCAATTATGCAAACTATAGCTATAACATACAAAACATACAAATATGATTTTTATGTTTGCTATATGTGAAAATTGTTTATTATAAAATTAGTGCTAACAATGGCCTATACTTTTGATATATAATTCCTATAGGTAGACACTTTGAGGTGCAGTGGTTAATTGAGTATTATATTACTCCCTCTGTCCCAATTTATATGACACCTTTTATGTTTTGAGAGTCAAACAGTTTAAGTTTGACCGGTAATTTGCGCATGGAATCTTCAATTTTTTTGGAATGAAATTTATATATTTGTAAACTACGTAAAAAGTACTATGAGTCACAATAATTGATAATTCAAAATGTTTAAAAGATCTATGAAAAATTTACGGTAAAAAATAGACTTGTTTGACTCTTGAAATCCGAAGGTGACATATAAAATGGGACGGAGGGAGTATAATACTAGAATTATGTATCAACTCATGAAAATAGAATTGGAAAAATAACTAAATGCTAGTACTATATATGATTTCCATTTTTCTCCTCCTTTATTTCAAGATGCTTTGAATAATGACTGCAATTTTAATTCGAGCAAAATAGAATTCATGTTCTATTTTTTAGTTTCTTATTCGGTATTTGATATTTATGTTAAGGTTCAACTAAATTAGAATTTGAGCCAGAAAGTCTTATAATGGGTAAAATGCACTTCCGAATGAATGGAAATTTATATCCAACAAGATTTGAATCTAAATTTTTGAGTTACAAATAAAGAAATACTCACCGCTCTATTACGACTTTCTTTGGTATGTAAAGCTTTATATTCAGTCTTAATTGTGTTAACAAAAACATCGATAACGTGCTAGGCATATTGCATGCGGTGCCTGTCCTAATTGCCATCTAATCATTCACTTTTTTTTTTTTTAAAGATCTTTATTATCAACTTGAAAAGATTGATTCTATATCATAGAAAAAAGGCCAGAATAGTCCATATCTTTAGATTTAGGTTTAAAGTAATCTTATTTCTTTTTAATGGAGCACTATTATATTAGACCAAATTCTTTGATAAAGTGATGCACTTTTAATCTCTAACTTTTAATACCTTATTAGACATAGTATAAGTTTTATAAGTTCATATTTCAAAATAATTAAGTAAAGTAATTGGATCATTGATTCCGCTCGTTTCCGTCCTTCACTTCTGGGCATGTTCCTTGTTGTGGTCAGTACTCCATACTGTCAGATAGTAAAACTTACATTTGTTCACTAATTATGACAGTTCACCATGGTCTCTTTCCTTCTCCTTTTTCTGCTCACTCATAGGGGGAGAAAGTCGATTGAACATCTCATCCATTAGCAGGAATTTTGCCCATATTCGACCCTCAATTTTTATTCACCCCGAATGATCGTGTTGGGTGAATTGTGACCTCGTACGATCGTGTCGGGTAAGCAATAGTTACTTCATCACAATACTTATTTATGGGCTAACATGTCACATTTTGACCAAGTATCCTACAAAGAGACTCCCGAGAGGCAGAAGTATTAAAGAAATGACCATAGGAATGGGCGCATCATGACATCGTAAGATGTCTCGCCCGAATGAATTAGTTGGTACTAGAAATGTTAGAAAAAGTGAACGAAAGGAGTAATAAGAAGTGAAAAGGACAGAGACACTTCCCAACCAGAAAGCAAAGTTCCCACTGATGGTATACTTAGTGTAAGCGAGCTCTAAGATCACATCTTTGGAATAAAATCCAGTTAGAGCTCGGATGTTAAACTCCCGCTGCTGACATATGTCCCATGCCACCTTTCGTGAACAATTATGTCCAAAAATGAATTGCGATACAGCGCGCTGAATAAGCAACAACTCTATTTCCAATTACTCGTGCTATGAATGTCATAAGTTAATGCCCTTATCGTTAATTTTTCGAGCAATTAAATGCCTCCTTCTTTAAAAATGAAATTCCCAACCATGTTAATTGTTGTGTTTTTATTATTTTTGCGCTAACAAATATAATATACAACTTTGCCATTGGAAGCCCTTTCCATTCAAAGGAGAATGATCTGCAAATTTTAGTTATGTAGCATAAAAAAGGGACTAACCCTAGCTATTATAAACTAATGGGATACTAAGAAGCATAGGTGGAAAAAGACTAATCTACTAGCTATCAAGCTAGTTAAGGATAAAGACATATACCATAATTCACTTATTATTGAAAACTCTAAATACGTATTGAATGTCAGTAAGATTTTAATTAAATACATCTATAGAGAGGTCGACTTTTAGATAAACAGATGACAAACATGATGAAAATCTAATAATAAGAGCAACTACACTCAATAATATGAAGTTTTCTTCTCTCGACAAGGTTAAGCGGTGCTACTTTTAATAAACCTAATCTTTTTAATTTTGTTTTGTGTTCCAACCATGTTAGATCACATATTTTAAAGTCGAAACTTGTAAGTTAAATGCTTTTTTTTTCTTTTCCAATGGGGGCTAGGAGAAAGGGAAATGAGGAGCTGACTACACTACATAGTGGAGAATCAAACTCTAACCAATGAGAGATAGATAATAGAACTCTCACCAATGAGAGAAAAAGCTCGGTCAATCAATTGAACTATAAAAATTCTATCAAATTTGAGTTTTTGTCATCACGATTTTTAAAATTTTAAATTATATTGTTTGAACATGTATTTTATTTTACTTGAAATTTTTAAATTTTTTGTGAGCGAGTGCAAATCTCAAAAACCCAAAACCTGATATGAGCAAAACACAAAAAATAAAAATCTAATCAAATTTCAAGTTCGTTTATATATTCAAAATATAAATTTTCAAAATCTACTCCCAAAATCTACGCGAACCCGAGATTAGTTGACAAAACAAAAGATTTATATTATGTCAAGTCTAATACAAGTCTACATGTTGTCCATTACATTTCATGATATATAGTCAGCCAATTACTTCTTCTAAATAAACTAAGATATTTCTGGCCCCTTCTCTCTGCTTTTTCCTCTGCTTTTTTTCTCCCATTCATCATTCTCTCTTTGGCTCATTCTCCCAGAAAAACATTCTCTTCATCCGCCATTAACGCTCGCCGCATCACAAACTTGCAATCCACACATAATCAACAACTTGCAGCAATATTTATTTTGATCTTCCAATGTATGCATCTTTTGACCTATTAAAACTGTTTTTATTGCTTACTTTTTCATAGTATAGATCTACCTCTGCGTAATTTTTACGCAGATGCAGATCTATAGTTTCACGTGAACTTAGTAGCTTTTGCTTAAATTTTGTATTGATTTTTGTAATTAGTTGTTTATTGTTTATGAGAAATAGTATGATTTGATTGATTTTTTTTGTAGAGTCAAAGAGGTTGGAGGATCAGATCTAGGATTATTTTTGTTGTGTTGAAGTTATGTCGTTTACAGGGACTCAACAGAAATGCAAGGCTTGTGAAAAGACTGTTTACCCAGTTGAGCTTTTGTCAGCTGATGGGATTAGTTATCACAAATCTTGCTTCAAATGTACCCATTGTAAAGGAACTCTCAAGGTAATTTACTTAAAGTTTTGCACGTTATAATCTTATTGCTATGTTTTTATTGTAGAATGGATGTAGATGATTGATAGAATTGAGCTCAACTTGTATTGGGATTGAGTCGTAGTTGATTGATTAAAACTTGATTTTTTGTTGAGAGGACCATAGATTTCTGGGTGAGCTAGAGGTGGAGGGAGGATTTGAAGTTTATGGGGTTGGGATTCTAGCTCTTTCAAGTTTTGGGTTCTAAATTAATAATTTGCACATCTTCAATGGATTTTTTAAGATAAAATACAGGTTTTGACCAAAGCTACTGGATTCATGGAACCATAAGCTATGCTCTAGCTCCACTGAAGCAAAGATTCAAACTTTTGACTTCAAATGTGGAGCAAACCCCTAACTGATAGATTGAAATTTTTCATCCTACTTAAAGTTTTGCACATTATAATCTTCTTGCTATGTTTTTATTACATAGTGTTTCTTTCTTGCATGAATAAAGTAGAATGGATGTAGATGATTGATACAATCGAGCTAAACTTGTTTGGGATTGAGTCGTAGTTGATTGATTAAGACTTGATTTTTGCCGAGAGACTTGATTTTTGCCGAGAGAGCACCATATATTATTGGGTTTTTCTTAATGTGTTGAGGTAGAAGCTAGAGGTTGAGCCAAGATTTGAAGCTTATGGGGTCAAGATTCTATTATAGTTCTTTTAAGTTGCCGGGTTCAAAATTAATAATTTGTGCATATTCAATGGATTTTAAAGACAAATACTGGTTTTGACCAAAGTTCAAAGCTACTGGATTCACGGAACCATAAGCTATATTCTAGCTCCACTCCTGGCAGATGCAAAGAGTCAAAATCTTGACTTTTAGTGTGGAGCAAACCTTAACTGATAATAGATTACAATTTTTCATGCTAGATTTTTTCTTGATTTGAGTTGGAAAAATGATAAAAGGGTAAACTTCCATTATCCTGATGTTGGAGCATGATGCAGTAGGAGTTGTAATTTGAGTTGCTACTGGCTCAATCATTAGAATAATTGTCTTAGTGTATGTCAGTGGCGGAGAGAGAATTTTTATCAAGGGGTGTTAAAGTATGAATGAGTAAACTCACGAAGAAGCAAAGGGGAGTCGATGTATATTATATATACATAAACAAATATTTTTTACCTAGCTACACAGTGTAATTTTCTGATAAAGGGATGTCAATTGACACCCCTTGACTACATGTGGCTACCGTTGGTGTATGTAGTATATGTAGAGTTCCAATATGAAAAGATTATGGTGTTTTCATGCATACTGACTGATGTTATATGTTTATGTGATCTTTTCTTAGCTGAGCAGTTACTCCTCAATGGAAGGTGTTCTGTATTGCAAGCCTCATTTTGAACAGCTCTACAAGGAGTCTGGCAACTTCAATAAGAACTTTCAATCTCGTAAGTGTTTATTTCATGCTTAATCCTTTATTCAACATTAAAGACCATAATACTTTATCTAATATGAAAATGCATTTTACTTGTGTTAGCTGTGAAGTCAGCTGAGAAGTTAACTCCAATGCTGGTAACTATCTTTGCAACTTTTGATACCTAAGATTAACATACTGAAAGAGAAGAACAGTGTATTTTTCTTAGATCTGATGCAATGTTGTGCCGCTTATTTTTTCTTCTCTTGCTTTTGCCACACAGACAAAATCTCCAAGCAAAGCTGCCGGCATGTTTTCTGGGACACAGGAAAAATGTGCCACCTGCGGTAAAACAGCTTATCCACTTGAGAAGGTATAGATATCAAATTCTCAAAATTTCACCCTATTATGATGTCTTTATTGAGGGATAAATTGTGCTTATCCTTTAGTTGACTTTGGTCCACATTGTGAACCTTATCCGGGGAAGAGTTGTTTGGTATTGAGGGGTCAGGGGTGGGAGTTCTCATTTCAATAATAACTTTTTTGTTTCTGGAGTTAGTCTTGAGTGTCAAAAAGTTTCATCTCTTTCATCCACAAGAGATAGATTCAAAGTTGATTTCTGTTGTAATATTATGCACTCCTGTAATTTTAATCATTTTCTACTGGCACAAGAAAGAAGGTTCATCTTTCCTCAAATGTAAATATATAAGCCAGGTTTCAAAGTCGGAGAATCTCTCTTTCGATTGGAAACATGCTATGTTGCTGCAGGATGATGGATAATAATATAATGACCCAAATGGGAATGGATGGTAGCTAATAATAGAGTGGTTGAAGTTTGCATGGTTGACAATTGTTGTGATGTGTCCGTATTCTTTTTAAATCAATATAGAATAGAACACTGTTAGAAATGCCAGTATCATCAGTTCGTGGTAGTGACAGCAAATGTGTTGTCTATCCTCTTAAGACTTTAGAGAAATTTAACTTAAGCATAGATGAACTTAGTTTCTTAAAATTCAAGCTTATTTGCTCACAGCATAATCATTAGTAGCTCTTTGAAGGAAGGATGTCATCCAGTGCACCACTCTATTCTACTTCCTCATTAGACATCCCACTGAATACTAACTCGAAATTATTAGGTAAGTTGTGTGTGCTATCACTGCTACCCCAACTTCGTAGCAGCCTCACACCAGTGAACTCTTCCACTTTTGAGTTGTAAGGTAGTAAAGAACTTGAACTTTATTAGGTAAATTCAACTATGTGCTAGGTAAGAATTCCAAAATTAAAAAAAGGAAGAGTCATTTGAACCTTCTATATGCTTATTTTAGGAAGTTAGTTGATCTGATTATTGTTAACCTATGTGCTTATTTTGATATCTAAATGTAGCCATCTCCGAATATTGGAACTTTTCAAAATTGAACTACATATACGTGACTTGTTTATATTCCAGAGTTTTTGAGCTTTGAGTTCATTTCATCATTTAAATTGTTGACAACATTTGCCCCTGTTCTGTTGACTACAAATTGTTAATGTCTTTATCTTTTTGAGATGTAAGTATGAACTTTGAAGGGTACCTTCTGGACCATTCATTTTTCAGAACTCCGAAACTGGAGTAGTTTTCAACCGCAGGCCTTTTTTCTGCAACACTTCAATTTCTTGACATACATCTAAGTTGATTGACCATTTTTTCAGGTGACAGTGGAGAACCAAAGTTATCACAAGTCGTGTTTCAAGTGTTCTCATGGTGGGTGCTCTTTAAATCCTTCGAATTATGCTGCCCTCGATGGGATTTTGTACTGCAAACCTCATTTTTCACAGCTTTTCAAGGAGAAAGGCAGCTACAATCATTTAATCAAGTCTGCTTCAATGAAGCGTCCAGCAGCAACTGTTCCAGATTCTTAAACTGTATCTCCGTCAACTATTTTATCCAGGGAGCTTGGTCTTTTAATATTTGTTTTCTTCTTCTTTTCCGTATATCTCCAATTGGTGTGCCATTTTGGTTTACTGTGTGATCTGATTTCCACAACTGTGAAAACTTATCCTTTCGTTGTTGTTGTTCCTTTAACTTTCGGATGTTAAATGTTCCTGCTGTTTTATCATGACCTTTGGCGGGAAAGTTGTGCAGTTCTTACGAGTGTTGTTACATGATTGTCCTCTCATGCTGTTCCCTATCTTCGTTGACATGCACTTTTCAATTATTAGATTCTAACAGGCTGATTAGTAATAAATAGTTGGTTTTGGTATCCTGTATCTGAAACCAAAACCAACTAGCTCAACTAATCCGGATTTGACTTGGTAAACCAACTACCAAGAAGGCTCGAATCAAAGACTTCTAGTTAAGGGTAGAAGGATCACACCTATTCTACCAATCCCTTGGTGGTGTACTATTAGAGTTCAATTTTCTTGGTATTTTTCAACTTAACCACCAGCAAAAGAACCTTGTTCTGTTAACGACTTTAGGTAAGTACACGCATCCTCCCAGTGGTGTCAGAAAGGGTGTCGCGACCAATTCAGTCCAACGCTCCTCTCCTCTATGACATTTATCGATATAATTGTCAACAGGTTTGACATTCTCCTCTCCAAGTTCAGGGAAATAAAATCCAGAAGAAAGGAAGAAAAGCAGCAAGATGGTGCAAATTGTTACTGCTCATGGAAGTTCATGAATTGTTACAAATTTAGTGCATTTGCCAACTTCCTGGTCTATGTAATGTATTTTGTTAGCTGGATTATGGGTGGACATTTTACTAAAGGTCTATAATTTACCTCTTATGTGATTCTTGTTGAAGCATATACCCAAAGAGCACTTGCATTGCGAAAGATTTTAAAGTGGACTCACCATTGAGAAGATCAACAAGATTTCGCGATCTTCTAGTGAATTTATTCCAATTTCAAGAGCTAGGATTGAATTAGTATTGATATATCAATTCGATCTGAGTTCGTTTATTATACCGAGCATTTTCAATAGTATGCCTTGAAGCGGACTTGAACGCACAAGATTTTGTGTTTCCATTGTACTTAGAGGAGTTGTAGGATGGGATGGTCAGATTGCAAAAATTGTTCGGAAGTTATATCATCAAAATATTTACGGGCTAACATATAATAACTTGAGAAAATCGCATATTTTTTGTAAAATAACTCCTATGTGCAAAAAGAATGGTGAGACTTCACGTATTGCTCTCCCGAATCTCTACGGAGGGTTTCGTAAAAGTTTTGTAAAAAAAAATCGTCTTGAAGCCATATCACCAAAATATTCATGGGTTAACATACACGAAAAATTGATTTTTTTTTCTAATTAATGTAAAATGGTTCCTAATTGCCCAACATATGTGCAAAAAATAGTGAGGCTTCACGTAGTGCTCCCCCAACTCTCTACGGAGGGTTCCGTGAAGGTTTTGCAAAAAAATCATCTAGAAATCAAATCACCTAAATATTCATGGGCTAACACATATGAAAAAAATGAGAAAATCACCTAATTTCGGTAAAATGGTTCCTCAATATCTAAAATATGTACAAAAAAAGTGAAGTTTCACATACTGCTCCCCCAACTCCCTATGATAGGCTCTATGAAGGTTTTAAAAAAATTATAGTCCGAAAGTCTTATCTCACCGAAATATTTATGGGCTAGCACACAAGAAAAACTAAGAAAATCATCTAATTCCTATAAAATAGCTACTTAATGCCAAAAATATTAGCAAAAAATGGTGAGGCTTCATGTACTCTTCTTCAACTCCTGAAAAACCAAGTAAGTCACCGAATTTCTAAAAGTTGGCTCATAAATGCGAAAATATGCCTGAAAAAATTAATAGGACTGTACGTAATGCTACCCCAACTCATTACAAAGGTTCTCAGATTTTTTTTTTGAATGCTCCGAGGCGCAAGATCTATAGACTAATACACACATGAAAAACACAGAAAAAATGTGTAATTTCTAAAAGTTGGCTTGTAAATGCGAAAATACTTCTGAAAAGATGGTGGGACTATACGTAATGATTCCCCAACTCACTACGAAAGTCCTTTTCAGAAAAATATTTTGGGTGCTCCGAGGAGCCAGATCCATGGACTAATACACACGAATACCCAAGAAAGTCGCGTTATTTCTAAAAGTTGGCTCGTAAATGCGAAAAAATGCATGAAAAAATGGTGGGACTGTACATAATGGATTCCTCAACTCATTACGGAGGTCCTAATAAAGTTTTTTCAGAAAAAGTTTTGAGGCGCCCCGTGACGCCAGATCCATGGGCTAATACACACAAAAAATCAAAAAAGTCAGGCAATTCCTAAAAGTTGGTTCATAAATGCGAAAATATGCCTGGAAAAAATGATGGGACTGTATGTAATGTTTCCTCAACTCATTACAGGGGTCCTCATTAAGTTTTTTCAAATTTTTTTTTGGGTACTTCGAGGCACCAGATCCATGGGATAATACACATGAAAAACAAACAAAGTCGCATAATTCCTAAAAGTTGGCTCATAAATGCGAAAATATGCCTGAAAAAAATGGTGGGACTGTACGTAATGCTTACCCAACTTATTACAGAGGTCCTCATAAAGTTTTTCAGAAAAGAAATTTTGGGTGCTCCGAGGCACCAGATAAATGAGCTAGTACACCCGAAAAATCAGGAAAGTCGCATTATTTCTAAAAGTTGGCTCGTAAATATGAAAAAATGCCTCAAAAAATGGTGGGACTGTACGTAATGCTTTCCAAACTCATTACAGAGGTCATCATATAGGTTTTTCATTAAAAAAAATTAGGTGATTCGAGGCGCCAGATTCATGGGCTAATAAATATGAAATACAAAGAAAGTTGTGTAATTCCTATAAGTTGGCTCATAATGTAAAATTATGCCTGAAAAAATGATGGGACTGTACGTAATGCTTCCCTACTCATTATGGAGGTCCTCATAAAATGTTTTGAGAAAATTTTTTGGGTCTGTGAGGCGCCAAACCCATGGGCTAATACACATAAAAACCAAGGAAGTCGCGTAAATTCCTATAAATTGGCTCGTAAATTCTAAAATATGCCTCGAAAAAATGGTGGGAGTGTATGCAATGCTTCCCCAACTCATTATAGAGGTCCTCATAAAGTTTTTTCAGCAAAAAAATTTAGGTGCTCTGAGGAACCAGATCCATGGGATAATATACAGGAAAAGCTAAGAAAGTCGCGTAATTTCTAAAAGTTGGCTCAAATAAGCAAAAATATGTCTAAAAAAATATCGATGGAACTGTACGTAATGCTTCCCTAACTCATTATGGAGGTTCTCAGAAAATATTTTTGGGTGTTTGAGGCGCCAAATTCATAGGCTCATACACATGAAAATCAAGATAGTCGCGTAATTCCTAAAAGTTATCTCGTAAATGTTAAAATATGCATGAAAAAATGGTGGAACTGTACGTAATGCTTCTCCTACTCATTAGAAAGGTCCGCATAAAGTTTTTTCAGATTATTTTTGGATGTTATGAGGCGCCAGATCCATGGGCATATACACGAAAAACAAAGAAAGTCGCGTCATTATTAAAGTTGGTTCGTAAATGCAAAAATATGTTTGAAAAACAGTGAGATTGTATGTAATGCTTCCCCAACTCATTACGAAGGTCCTCATAATATTTTTTAAGAATTATTTTGGGTACTTTGAGGCGCCAGATCCATGGGCTAATACATGAAAAATCAAGAAATTTGTGCAATTCCTGAAAGTTGGCTTACAAATGCGAAAATATGCAAAAAAACAACAATGAAACTATACGTAATGTTTTCCTAACTCATCATGGAGGTCCTCATAAAGTTTTTCAGAAAAAAAAAATTTAGGTGCTCCGAGGCGCCAGATCCATGGGCTAATATGCACGAAAAACCAAGAAAGTCGAGTAATTTCTAAATGTTGTCTCGTAAATGTGAAAATATGCTTGAAAAATATTGTGGGACTGTACGTAATGCTTCTCTAACTCATTACATAGGTCCTCATAAAAAAAATTCAAAATTTTTTTTTGGATGCTCCGAGGCGCCAGATCAGTGGGCTAATACACACGAAAATTAAGAAAATTGTGTAATTCTTAAAAGTTCGCTCATAATTCCGAAAATATGCCTGAAAAATTGATGGGATTGTACGTAATGCTTCCTCAACTCATTACGGAGGTCATCATAAAGTTTTTTCAGAATTTTTTTGGTTGCATCAAGGCGCTAGATCCATGGGATAATACACACAAAAAAATCAAGAAATTCACATAATTTGTGAAAGTTGGCTTGTAGATGCAAAAATATGCCAGAAAAATTTTGTGCGATTGTACGTATTGTTTCCCCAATTCATTACAGAGGTCTTCATAAAGTTTTTTCAATTTATTTTTAGGTGCTCTAAGGTACCTAATCCATGGGCTGATTGATACACACGAAAAACTGCATAATTCCTAAAAGTTGGCTCGTAAATACGAAAATATGCCTGAATAAATTATGGGATTGTACGTAATGCTTCTTAACTCATTACGGAGGTCCTAAAAAAATTCAGATTTTTTTTGGGTGCTCTGAGACACCAGATTTATGGGCTAATACACACAAAAAACAAAAAATATTCCTAAAAATTGGCTCGTAAATGCGAAAATATGCTAGAAAAAAATTGTAGGGCTGTACATAATGCTTTCTCAACTCATTATAGATGTCCTTGTAAAAATAAATTTGTGTGTTCTGAGGCACCTGATCTATGGGCTAATACACATGAAAAATCAAGAAAACTGCGTAATTTCTAAAAGTTGACTCGTAAATGCGAAAATATGCCTGAAAAAAATAGTGAGACTGTACGTAATGCTTTCCCTACTCATTATGGTGGTCCTCATAAAGTTTTTTCGAATTTTTTTTTGTTGCTCCGAGACACTAGATTCATGGGCTAAACACACGGAAAAATTAAGAAAGTCGGGTTATTCCAAAAAGGTTGATCGTAAATGCAGAAATATGCCTTTAAAAATGGTAGGACTATACGTAATGTTTCGCCAACTCATTACAGAGGTCCTCATAAAGTTTTTTCAAAAAAAATTTTTACGGTGCTCCAAGGCGCCATATCAATTGGCAAATACACATGAAAACCAAGAAAGTCACGTAATTTCTAAAAGTTGGCTTGTAAATGCCAAAATATGCCTGAATAATCAGGAAAATTTACGTAAATCTT